CTGGGTATGAGGTGGCAGATCTATGGTTTTGATCAGTATTTCCTTGATGAATAATGATGGGCATCTTTTCATGTGCTTATTGGTCATTTGTGTATCTTCTTTAGAGAAATGTCTATTCAAGCACTTTGTTCATTTTTTAGTTGCTTTTTATTTTTATTATTCATTTGTAACAGTTCTCTGTATATTCTAGATAGTGGATCCATATATCCACTATCTATATATGTATATATATATATATATATATATATATATATATATATATATACACACTCCCATTAAGTAGGTTGTCATTTAGTTTTCTTGATAATGTCTTTTGTTGCATAAAGTTTTTAATTTTGATGAAGTCTAATTTATTTATTTGCACAAAATTGCAAGGGGCCCCAAGTAGCAATCAATCTTGAAAAGGAAGAACAAAGCTGCAAGCCTCACAGTGTGGTACTGGAATAAGTATTGACATATGGAATAGAATTGAGAGTCCAGAAATAAACTTCCACATTTACATTTAATTGAGTTTTGACAAGGGACCAATACCATCCAATGGAGAAAAGAATTGTCTCTTTAACAAATGGTGCTGGGACAATTATGCATAGATAGCCATATGTAAAAGGATGAAGTTGGACCCCTCCTTACACCATATACAAAAATTAAAATGGATCAGTCATCTAAATATAAAAACTAAAACCATGTAGCTCTTCTAAGAGAAAACGTAGGGGTAAATCTTCATGACCTTGAATTTGGCATTAGATTCTTAGATATTACAGCAAAAGCATGAGTAACAGAATAGTTCATGATTGAAGGAATCACTTTTAGCCACTTTTATAAACTTTTATTTGGCTAAAACTAGAAAACCACCTAAGCAAGTGCACATGCTTAGTGCCATGTTCCAATCAGCTGACAGTGAAGGAAGGACCCTGGGCTGCACAGAGCAGCACACTGCACCACCATTCCTGCCACCAAACACTTTCTCCTTGTATGCAGAGCCTCCATTTGGCAGTTGCCTTCATCTTTTGTGTTTATTTCCCTGCAGGGTCAGCATGCTGCATTGGGCGTGTAGGGTCAAACTTGGTAACTGGTCCTTTGGCTGGGATGGTGGTATTGTTTTTCATTCATATGAATTTTCTTTTTATTTCCCTTATTCCCATGGAAAGAAAATGCATACGCAGAAATGGCCAAATGCAGTCAGGCCCTTGGAAGTCTGAAAATTGTCACCAAGTGCATTGTATTTGGCTCTCTTTGAGATTCTGGTTCATCATGCTTTTTGCAAATGGAGTAGTTGCAGACAAACATCAGTGAATCTTATATCTATGCTTAAGCTGTGGGCTTATTTGCCTCTCGATAATGAAACTCTTAAAGAATAATTTACTCTCCCCCCACTCCATCCCCAGAACTGCCCTATTTGTCTCTATGTATTTCATTCTTGTAGATACTATGTCTGAGTCTTGCACTGAGTCCCTGAGATCCCCTCCTGCCCCTGTATGGTATGGTGGCTCCTTTTCCTGGGTGCAGATATGTCACTTGCTTCAGCAACTGTGCTAACATGCCATGGTGGGTGTCTCCATAACACTGTGAAGCAAAATTCCTGAAAAAGAATTCTGCTTCTTTGGAGAAAGACAAGACGTAAATGCTTAACTGCTCCTTATGATCAGGGAGACATTTCCCACTGAGAAACAAATTTCATTTTTTTAGGTTCAGCTAAGACAGTTCATGAAATGAATTTTGAGTTAAATTGAGATTCTAATACATAAAAGTAGACTTTCTTACCTAGGGAATTTACACCCTGTTGAAAACTTTCTTAATTTCATTTTAGGATACACTTATTTATGTTGTAAAATCAATAATAGTCTTTTTTACTCAAATGGCTCATTTACATTTTATTATTAGTAGTTTTAAATATCGGCTTTCAAATACCAAGCTTAAACATGGAATTTGTTTAAAGTTAATAAAGTTTAAATGTTATAATAAAGACAAATCTATGGAAGAGAAAGCATCGTGGACAACCAAGGCAAACACTGAGCAGAAACAACCTCTATGAACTTCGGGAAATCATGTGCCTTTGAGCTCAGACTGTTGCTGGGGAGTTTTTGGCAGGATGGTGCACCAAATTGTCAGGCTTTGAAGGAGAACAACTACAATGAAGAACCAACCAGAGATTACTCAGATAAGTGTGAACAGCAGCAATAAATTTCAATTGGCATTCTTGTTGAAATTCGGTGTTGTACCACCTCTCCTAAGACACAGTGCTTCTGTAAAAAACAAAAATCAGAGTACAAGAAAGTTGACTTAAAATACAATGGAAAAGATTCCAGAGAAGTCAAAAGTAGGTATACTGGGCCCATCATCTAGTACAAGTTCCAGAAAGAGAGAAAAGATACAGGAGTTGGGATGATGTAATTAAAAAAAAAAAAAAGAAAATTTCTCCAAGCTCCAGAAAGGATAAGGGTTTTAACCCTTAGTCACCCCCACCAAACAAACTAACAAAAAATTAAAAAGGAGTTCTAGATATATCCTGGTGAAATGTTATAACTCCCAGAATAAGAAGAGTATCTTAAACCTGCCAAAGAGAAAGGAACAATCCAACTTTTCTACTAAGGAAAGAGAATCATACTGGCTTTGGATTTCACATCAATACCCTGGATGGTAAAGTTAAAAATTAAATAATCCTTGAAATTTGAAGGAAAAAGAATTTGAACTTAGTTTGGCTTCAGAATTCTATCAATCAAATGAGAGGGCATGAACTCAGAAACTTTAATGCCATCTAAAAGAATTTACAGTAATGTTTATACCAAAATACAAAATGGATCCAAGAAAGGTGATAAATTAAAATACAAAAATCGGCAAATGAGAGTTACCTAGGCAAAAAAGAAACAAAAAGCTGAAAATAATAAATAAATAAATAAATAAATAAATAAATAAATAAATAAATAAATAAATAAAAGACCCAAATGTGGCTGCCACAAAGAATTACACTTTAATCAGCAAAGTTTGATGGAACATGACCTTTTGCTTTCATTGGGCCCGGTACTGCTATCTACATCTATAGAGGAAAATCTCTACAAAATTCTCTTAATGCTGTTTATTGATAGTGTTTTGAAACAACCCATGGAGAAAAGCATAGAAGATTTAATTTAATATTTAGAGCAAAGTGTAAATACTACTGAGTCTTCGGAAAAGTCATGATGCATGTTTGCAACAGATGGCACTAGTTCATTTTTGGAAGTACTAGAGTCATTCACATCTATGTTATTGCTATGTCATTTTACAGCTGACAGTTGTAGCTTCATTCTAAAAAAAAATTGAACGATTTGGTTGAGTTTTGGAGATTTTACAACTAGTTGAAGATGGAAGACCAAACTGTGCATTTTTGCAATATTTTACTCTTTTACTTCCATAAAGGGAAGAACGCGCGTCAAGCTTATGAAAAGTTGCATAAAGTTTATGGTGACAATGCTTTACAAGAATGTCAGTACCAACGATGGTTCACAAAATTCTGTGCTGGTGATTTTGATCTCAACGACACTCCTCGGTCAGGGAGGCCCACCAAGGTTGATGACAACAAAATAAAGGCATTGATCAAGTCAAACCCATGTTACACGACACAAGAGATTGCAGAAACATTGAACATCCATCATTCAAGCATTCACGTCCACCTGAAGCTGGGATATGTAAGCAAGCTTGATATTTGGGTTCCGCATGAACTCAAAGAATTTCATTTGATGGCACGTATAAACATCTGCAATGTGCTCATTAAACATAAGGAAAAGGATTCTTTTTTGAAGCGACCGATAACTGGTGATGAGAAGTGGATTGTTTACAACAATGTGGTGCACAAACCATCTTGGTTCCGATGTGATGATTCACCTCAAGCAACATTGAAAGCAGACATTCATCAGAGGAAGGTTATGCTCTCAGTGTGGTGGGATTTTAAAGGTGTCATGTTTTTCGAGCTCCTACCAAGGAACCAAACAATTCAAATATGTACTGTTGGCAATTGAACAGTTTGAATGAATCCATAATCCAGAAATGTCCAGAGCTTGTTAATTGTAAAGGAGTTGTTTTCCATCATGACAATGTGAAACCACACACATTTGATCACTCATCAAAAATTACTGGAGCTTGGATGGGGTGTGTTGTCACATCCACCATACTCACCTGACCTTGCGCCATCAGACTTCCACTTGTTTTGCCGTCTTTGAAACTTGCATGGTAAAACTTTCAATTCAGATGAGGCTGTAAATCGTCATCTTGTTCAGTTTTTCGCAAATAAAGACAGGTCCTCCTATGTACGAGGAATTATTAAGCTCACTGAAAGATGGCAAAAAGTTATTGAACAAAACGGGCAATATATCATTGATTGAGCTTTGTTCTTTATATAAATAAATGACCTTTGAAAAATAGACAAAATACGTCATGACTTTTCCAAAGACCCAATATGTCCAGAAAACTTAAATACTGATATATGCTTTAAAAATATGGTCTAAGTAACAAAAATTAGGCAATGGAGGGTGGTAACTGTACTAATTTTGTAGATAGATAAGTCAAAACATTAAGTGTTGAGGTAATCACTTCATAAGTTACATTAAATGTCTAATCATTATGTTGTGCACCTAAAACTAATATAATATTGTATGTCAACTGTAATTGAAAAAAATAAAAAAGACATTAAGATCTATGATTCAGACAATGAGTACATCATTTAAAATTATAATGGTGAACACCAGGAAATGACAACTGAGTTTCCGTTCTTTTTAACAGTGGTTATTAATAATTCTGGAAAGAGAGAGTGGGACTGCTGAAGGCAGGGGCCTGGGTGTGAATAAAAGAATATTTTATAATCTCTTTTACTTTTTTAACTAAGTCCATGTGTTGTGGCATTTTTCATTTGTTTGTTTTACAGTTTTTAAGTTAAGACAACAGGAGTGGTTTGGGTTGGTTGGGCAGGTTTCACTGGGGCTTCCTGTGCTTCACCTACCCTTTCTTTGTCCTTTCTTCTCTCCTTGAAGACCAACCTGCTGTGTATGCATCCTGGCTCCCAGTGACTCCTGCTTTCTCCAAGACTTGTTCCACTGGACCCCCATCACCAGACCTCTACAGGTAATCTTTCCCACTTCTTAACCCCTATGTTACCCTATACCAATTGTCCCTTCCCCTTTTCTTAATCCCCAAATTTCTTCACAGAGAAATCCACGTGTCTTGTCTTTAGAGCCATCCTATAAATTCCCATCACTCTCAAACCCATTGCAAAATGACTTCAACTCTCTCACATCCCCCAACATATTACTTTCCTGCAACTTTGCCTTTATTTATCTCCTCTCTCCAAAACCAAAGCCTTACTTGCCATTTCTGTCATATTCATTCTCTAACAACGGTATTTTTTAATACTGAGAATAAATCCTATTGGATTTCCCAATTTTCAATTATTTCTTTAAAATTTGGTATTTAATTTCCATAATTTAAAACCATAAACTCATTCAGGGTAAGCTGGACCACCACCTTTTAGCAGCGTAGTGTTAACATTTTTGTAAACATCACCCACAGGAAGCTGTGCGGTATTCCAGCACCTCGAAGACCTAGTGCCTCGTATGTCTCAGCTGTATCATTCTTTGTATTGTATTTTCTTCTTGTACGAATATATTCATTCGATATGTTGGCTTTATGGTATGAATATTCCATTGTTTGCTTATCATTTCTACTGTGAACATGCAGGTTGTTTCTGTTATCAGGCTTTTAGGAACAAAGCCGAGGCTGTTACCTTTAATACACCTCTCATGCTAGGTGGGTGGACCTACTGCTCTACAGTGGTGACTCGTTTCAGTAGATAATGGCATTATGTACAGTGGATTACTGCCCCTCCCAAAATCTTTCTTTTTTTTAATTTTTTTTATTATCTTTTTATTGTGAAATGAACATTTTAAAAAATTAGTTTCAGCTGTACAACACAGTGCAATAGTTATACTTTTTACCCCTCAAAGTGACAACCCCCTTCCCCAATCTGCTGCCCCACTCTCCCCCTCATATCATACATATCTATTACAATTTCCTTGACTCCACTCCCACACTATACTCTGCGTCCTGTGACTATATATATATTCAATTATAGTTGAAATAAGTCAGTTGGAGAAAGACAAATACCAATGTCTTTTTTTAAAATGACAACTTTATTGAAATATAATTCACCCAATTGAAGTATACAATTCAGTAGTTTCCAGCATATCCACAGGGTTGTGCAGTTGTCCCCACAATCAGTTTTAGAATGTTTTCATCACTCCTAAGGAAACCCTATGCTCCTTATCAGTCACTTCTCATGTCCCCCTGAATACCCACCCAGCCCCCTCCCTAGGCATCCACAGATATACTTTCTGTCTTTGTGGATTTGCAATTCTTCACATTTTGTACAAATGCAACCATAAATATGTGTGGTCTTTTGTTACTGGCATCCAATTACCATAATGTTTTCAAGGCTTATCCATGCTGTAGCATGTATCAGTACTTCCTATCTTTGTATTGCTGAATGCTTTTTATTGTATAGGTGTACCACAATTTACTTTTATTAGTTGGTGAACGTTTGGATTGTTTCCACTTTTTGGCTATTATGAATAATGTTTCTATGAACATTTCTATATAATTTTTTATGACTATGTTTTTATTTCTCAGGGGTATATACTTAGAAGGGAAATTGCTGGGTCATATGGTAGTTCTGTGTTTAACCGTTTGAAGAAGCAATACATTGTTTTTCAAAGCAGCTGTGCCATTTTACTTTTAGACCAGCAAATCACAAGAGTCACAGTTTCTCCACATCCTTGCAAACATTTATTATTTTCTGGATTTTGTTTGTTTGTTTTTATTATAGCCATCTAATGGGTGTGAGATGGTATTTCATTGTGGTTTTCATTTGAATTTACCTAACAACATTTTTCTAGTAATGTTGAGCATCTTTTTATGTGCTTATTGCCATTTGTATAGCTACTTTGGAGAAATGTGTATTCACATCTTTTGCCCATTAAATTTTTTTCTTTTGTTGTTGAATTGTAGGAGTTCTTTATATATCCTAGAATTAATCCCTTATCAGACAGATATGTGATTGGCAAAAATATTCTCCCATTCTGTATGTTGTCTTTTCACTTTCTTAATAGTGCCCTTTGATGCATAGAAGTTTTTAATTTTGATGAAGTCAGATTTACCTATTTTTAATCTTGTTGCTTTATGCTTTTGGTATCACATTTAAGAAATGACTGCCAAATCAAAGATGATAAAAATGTATGCCTTTAATTTCTTCTAGGAGTTTTATAGTTTTTAGTCTTACATTTGGGCTTTTGATCCATTTTGAGTTAATATTTGTATATGGTGTGAGGGAAGGTTTCAACTTCATTCTTTTGCATGTGGGTATTCCCAGAACCATTTGTTGAAAAGATTATTCTCTCTCCATTGAGTTTTCTTGGCACCTTTGTCAAAAATCAATTGACTGTAAATGTGATGGTTTGTTTTTGGATTCTGAATTTTTCCATTCATTTATATATGTCTGTCCTGTGCCAGTACCACATTGTCTTGATTCTTGTAGCTTTGTAGTGAGTTTGAAATAAAAAAAATATGTGTCCTCCAACTTTTTTTTTTTTTTCTAAGTTATTGTTTTGACTGTTCTGGGCCTTTTGAATTTTCAAACAAACTTTGGGTTCAGCTTGTCAATTTCTGAAGGTAGTCAATTGGGATTTTTTTTAAGGGATTATATTGAATCTGTAGGTGATGTGGGGAATACAGGAAGCCCTCGCATAACATCATCAATAGGTTCTTGGAACTGAGGCAAAGGACATGTAACAAAATCAATTTTACCATAGGATAATTGATATAAACAAAGAGTTAAGTTCTTACAACATCTCATCAATGTTATAATGAAAAGACATTGAATGAAATGATGTTAAGGACCAACTGTATTGCCATTTTAGCACTGTTAAGTTTTCTGACACATAAACATAAGTTTCTTTCCATTTTCTTAAGTCTTAAATTTTTTCAACAATATTTAATAATATTTAGAGTGTAAGTTTTGTACGTCTTTGTTAAATTTATTCCTAAGTATCCTATTTTTTGATGATATTGTAAATGGAATTGGTTTCTTAATTTTATATTCAGGTTGTCCAATGGACATATGTAGAAATACAGTTGATTTTTATATGGATGTTGTATTTTAAAACCTTCCTGAAGTAGTTTATTAGTTTTAATATTTTTTATTGGATTCCTTAGGATTTTGTATATAAGATCATGCCGTTCACAACAAAGATAGTTTTATTTATTTCTTTCCTTTTATATAGAAAGATGCCTTTTATTTCATTTTCTTGCCTAATTCTTCTGGCTAAAACCTCCAGTAAAATGTTGAATAGAAGCTATAAGAGTAGATTCTTTGTCTTTTCCTGATCATATGGAGATAATATTCAATCTTTTACTATTAAATGTTATGCTAGCTCTGGGTTTTTCATTATATGTCCTTTACCCGGTTGGAAAAGTTCCCTTTTATTCCTGGCTTAAGGTTTTGTTTTTTCTCCCCAATGATTGGGTTCTGAATTTTGCCTTTTTTTCCCTTTTTGTATCTACTAAAATTATTATGGTTTTTGTATGTTAGTTTATTGATATGATGTGTTATATTAATTTTTGGATGTTAAACCAACTTTGCATTCCTGGTATGTATCCCATTTGCTTATGATGTATAATCCTTTTTATATATTGATGAATTTAATTTGCTAGTATTTTACTGAGAATTTTTGTATCTATATTTATGTAGTTCCTTATGATATCTTTGTCTAGCATTGGTATCGGTAATATTGAACTCAGAAAGAGTGAGAAGCATTTTCTCCTGTTCATTATTTTTAAAGAGTTTGTGAAGAATTAGTATTAATTCTTTGAATGTTTTCTGGAATTTACCAGTGAAGTCATCTGGACCTTGGATTTTCTGTGTGGATAGTTTTTGGATTACTAACTTAGTCTCTTTACTTGTTATAGGTCTATTCATAGTTTTGTTTGTTTGTTTGTTTTTGTTTTTTTCCTTGTCTCAGATTTGGTAGTTTGTGTCTGTCTTATCTAAGTAATATAACTTGTTGGCTTACATTTGGTCATAGGAGTCCCTTATAATTCTTTTTCTTTCTATAAGTTCAATACTAATGTCTCCTCTTTCATTCCCAATTTTGGTAATTTGAGTCGTTTCACCTTTATTTGTTTATCTATTTAGTTTTTGGTCAGTTTAACAAAAAATGTGTTAATTTTGTTGATATTTTCTAAGAACCACTTTTTGGTTTTATTGCTTTTTCCTTATTGTTTTTCTATCCATTATTTCATTAATATTCACTGTGATCTAATTTTCCTTCATTTTCTTTTTCTTTGGGTTTAGTTTGTCCTTTTGCCCTATTAAGATGGAGCAGTACATGACTGATTCTCATTTAATGTAGGTGCTTATAGCTACAATTTCCTTTTACGCACTGATTTAGCCGCACACCCTCAATGTCTTTTTGACATTATTTGCTCCCTTGGCGTTTTGTCACCTTCTCTCCAGATTTTCCTCACTCTCCTTTATTGCTTCTCTGTGACCCCCTTTTCTGTCTGTCCTTACTGAAAATAGCCAGAGACCTTTGCACTGGCAACTGTGCTAAGTGCTTGATCTTGTATTGTCTTGCTATATCCCCATAGCAGCTCTGTGAAGAGTGTGGTATTATTATCTCCATTTTCTAGCTCAGTAAACTCAAGTGCAGAAACTTGAAGTAATAACATGTCAAGTTCTCTTATTAGTATATATCAGATTTGTCATTCGGTCTTCTCCCCTCATGCTCCATGCCTTTTCCCTGGATGATTTTTATTTATTAAAGTGCTATTTATATATGGATAATTCTACCATGTCATGAATATTGCCTGTCTTCCTGCTATTGTTCTTCTCCATGAGGTCCTTTCTTCTGATTAACATGCCTTTCATTGCTTCATCATCTTCACCCAGTCTATGAAATCTTTCCTGAGGGCCCCAGAGAGAGCACGGTGCCCCACTGGGTTCTTCTTCTGCCTTTTTTTATGACTTTACCACAGCATCTACCAAACGGCGTACAATGTATCCTTTCCTATGACTGAGCATCTTCTAATGCTGTGAGCTTCTATTGGGTAACCACCCAGAATATAATTTGCAGTTTGGGGAAAAACTGTTAGAGAGTCGAAGATTGGTATGGAGTTATTGCCCCAGATATCTCTCATAAATTCATAGTGAACTTCATACTCTTTCACCTGCCTGTTTCCTATGCATCTTTCAGGTTCCTGCTCCCATGCCACCTCCTTAGGGAAGTTGTTCCTGTTATCCCAGGTTGAATAGGTCCCTGTAGACTTCTCTTTCACAGTACTGCTGTGATGTAATTTGTTAAATACCTGTGAAGTTATCTTTTTGATGTCTGTCTGCTCCATTTCATCCCAAGTTCCACAAGAACAGAGCCCCTGCCTCAGGTCTGCCCTCTGTAGAGTTGTTTGCTGGCCCAGAACCCAGAGCCTGGCCTTTAGAAGAGATTCAACAGTTATAGGAGAAATGGATTACAGTAGCTATGAATTCTTCTTTTTTATGTTTTTTTTTTTTTTTTTAAGCTGAGCCATCCTGCCACTGGTTGGCAGCTCAGCGGCTGCTCAGCTCGGGCCAGGAATCGAACCGCTGTTGCTCAGAGCTCAAACTATTGAGAGAGCTCTTAACCAACTGAGCCACTCAGCCGGCCCTTTCTTTTTTATGTTTAGTTTTTGTTTTCTATATCTTGGCTACCAGTTTAGTAATGGAGACACCTTATCATGGCTGAGAACATATTTACCAAACACAGAATGAGTGTGAGCTGCAGACCAAGAACTCTTTTGAAAGATATTTTTGGACACAGAGCTTGTTAAGACATGTTCCCTTCCAGTCAAATACTTGTACTCCAGTCTGGAGCTGAAGAACCATAATACAAGGGAGGCTGAGTGAGGATGCTGCTTTCCAGGCACAAAGAGAGCCTCCTTCTAAGGGTGCAGAGAGGTTTCATACCACATTCCATAGACAATTGCATTTTTAAAAATGTAGAACAATTTATCACAATGGTGTACTATTGATTTGATCATAATGATCTCATGAGCATTTAATAGACTGATCAAACTCCTAAGCTGGCTTTCAGCACTCTCACTGTTAATGAACTTCCTTCTTTCTGTGTCTCTTTTAGCATTGATGCTTCAGTTTCTTGGTAGGTTTGGTATTCCAAAGTGCACATAAGAATGGCTGAGTGTTTGAACAGATTTGTAGGCACATGGACGTGGTGAAATCAGAGGGGAAATCAGAAGATGGATGCCGCGGTCCTGGGCTTTGATCTGATGTTCCATTTGCCAGTAGACATTCACCACCCACAGCCATTTCCTTTCACTGCTAATTATATTTTAAAATTTTTTCTGGCCTCTGAAAATGACATTGTGGAGAAGTGGCTTTTATTATTGGTCCTCAGTTACTCTAAGATTTGAAAAGTGAATGTTGGTACAGTAGTTTCCTGGAGAAAATGGGTTTCATGCTTCACATTACCATATAATTTGTAGACCAGCTAAAACAAAATTTGGACGTTGCTTTATTTTCTACTTTGTGTGTGTGTGTGTTATATAACCTTTTTTACCAAAGAAGGGACAGGATGAAAGTTATTTGATAATCGATATGTGAGGAAAGTACATTTATCCTTGGATTTGGGATGATGTTTGTGATGAAGACAAACCCCATCCTACTCCAGTTTTTAACTTAATAGTCGTTTATACTACTGTCTTGGTAATGGTTGGCTCCTTATGATTCTTAAATAAAGCACTTATATTTGTTCTAATTTTGATGAATGAAAGCACTCTCCAAGCTTCTTAGTTTATTGTCAACTCTTTCTGCTTATTGAAACGTCCACTCCATGGCCTGAGTGGTGCCCATTCTACTGTGATCTGTTCTGTCTCTATGCAGCCTGGGGGATGGGCAGGGTCATAGCAATACTTTGGTTTGTATTTCAGCCTCACCTCCCTGGCTGTGCAAAGTTGGGGACATTGGATTCCCCAATTTCTTCTGTGTTTCCAATTTCTTTGTTGTACAAACGGGATGATGACACTGATTCTGCACAGTAGTGAAGAAGACTTCATGAGTTAATGTAGACAGTGAATAAATATTAATATCTTTCTCCTCCCCATTGCCTCCATATATATATATAGCAACAATACACTATCAGTATATCAGTAATATATTGGATGTTTATAGAACTTCAGGTAAAACAGTAAAGATTTGTTGTGAGAGAGAGAGAGAGAGAGACAGAGAGAGNGTGTGTGTGTGTGTGTGTGTGTTGGGATGGTTAACTGCCATCTTTCCATTGGCTTTCCTTGATTCTGATCCCTTGGGCTAGCTCAGCATCTTTCTCCTGGGCCCAGGGTGCCTGTGTGAGCACAGATGCCCAGAGTCATGGTCCAAAGAGGAGAAAGAGACAAGCTTCTGTGACCACTGAGTAGATTGTTGGCCCCTTTGAAAAGTGAGGATAGACTACACATACTGGATTTAGAATGGCAGAATTTTGGAAATGGAATTTAAATGTCGGTAGAATAAAAGCAAACTTTATCACTTTGATTTTTTTTTTCTTTTTTTTAGCTATCAAAAGAGGGTTAAGTGATCCAAGCAATCTCTTTCAAGATATTTTTGTATTAATTCTCTTAAACATCTGGGTCTTTTGCTAGGTGCTTTCTGGTCGACCATTGGAGCCCTCTAGCAACATGCCGGAACAGAGCAACGACTACCGGGTGGCTGTGTTCGGGGCAGGTGGTGTTGGCAAGAGCTCCCTAGTTTTGAGGTTTGTGAAAGGCACATTCCGGGAGAGCTACATCCCCACGGTGGAAGACACATATCGGCAGGTGATCAGCTGTGACAAGAGCATCTGCACACTGCAGATCACAGACACCACAGGCAGCCACCAGTTCCCCGCCATGCAGCGGCTGTCCATCTCCAAGGGGCACGCCTTCATTCTGGTGTATTCCATCACCAGCCGGCAGTCCTTGGAGGAGCTCAAACCCATCTATGAACAAATCTGCGAGATCAAAGGAGACGTGGAGAGTATCCCCATCATGCTGGTGGGGAACAAGTGTGACGAGAGCCCGAACCGCGAGGTGGAGAGCAGTGAGGCGGAAGCCCTGGCCCGCAAGTGGAAGTGTGCCTTCATGGAGACCTCGGCCAAGCTCAATCACAACGTGAAGGAGCTGTTTCAGGAGCTGCTCAACTTGGAGAAGCGCAGGACCGTGAGCCTACAGATCGACGGGAAAAAGAGCAAGCAGCAGAAGAGAAAAGAAAAGCTCAAGGGCAAATGTGTGATCATGTGAATGCCTTTCCCATGGGAGGAGCAGCTGAGTGTCCCTTGTCACCTCTCCCTCCCCCTTCCACGTGAAACCCACTGTCACGTCGTCAGGGCAGCATGTAAGATGCCCACATGTTAAATATTGCATTTTGACCGAGATGTGCCCTCTTGGCTTTAAGAGGGCATTTCACACCACCAACAATAAGCCCCCTTCTCCAGAGTCAGGGAATCAGCCAGATGGTTAAAATGAAAAGCAACATGCTCGGGACTGTGGGCGACTGAGAGGTACCAGCAGTCCCTGAAAGCATTGTATGCCGTGAGGAGGTGGTGGGGCTGGTACCCACAGAAGCAGTGTGTGCTCAGAGCAGTCACTGTCACGCATGCGTTCCCGAGCATGTGAGCCTGGAGCTTCAGGTACCACCCCACACCAGGCGTTTCCCCCGGCTCAGAAGTCAGTGCCATCCTGGGGGGAGGGGAGAGGCAGGAGGAGGTGAGAAGAACAGGCCAGAGTTGCTCCATTTCATGGTTCTTTAACTGAATTACAGTAAAATAACACGGCCTCCCCCAGAGGATGTTTACTCTCCACTCCCAGCTGACCTGTGAGCCTCGCTTCCCTAAGTGGTCCTATTCACCTCACTAGACCTGGTTAACAGGTATCAGTTTCACCATTTAGAGTATTTATTTTCATGTATGAGGATGAGTTCACTAAGAGCGTGCTGCTCTGTCAGAAATTCTGTAGTTTGTGAGGGAGGATGCTGGGACATTACTAAGCCAGTGCAGCAGTGCTCCTTTGTGTTGTACTTGGAGGGTTTTAGATGTGAAGTTTCCTTCCTTTGACCCACAAGGGCTATCACTTCTTCCAGCCCTCAGATTTTAAATAAAAGCAATTAAAGTATTTATTTTTAGAAAATGCTGTTTTCCTCCAAGATTGTTTTCTTCTTTTAAATAACTCGATCTCTATTCAGCTGGCTAACAGCCGACAAAGGCCATCTGAAGACCAAAAGCACATCCATTTTCTAAATGACATGGACATGTAAATGCCATACTTTGCACCCTAATGAAATATTTTGAAACAGAAGTTGTTCACTGTGTTTTTGATGACCTATCTATAACAGTATATTCCTGGAATATGTGTTCAAGTAATAGTAGACTATATTTGCATGTTATAATGTCCATTATAAATGTCCCCTGAGAGCTGTTCAATGCAGTGTTCACTCTGGAAACAATTATCTTTTTCTCCTAATGATCTTGTGTGTATCCTTAATCCTTCAGGCCAAATAACAGCCACTGTTGTTTCCTAACTGCTGGTGTGGAGATGGGGTGGTGGTGGAGACAGGCAGGGCAGAGTCATTGCTCTGCCAACCTCGAGTCTGGTTTGGCTCTGCTTCCCCAAAATTCCCAGTAACAGAGTCTGTGCATTCTCCTGTTCATTCCAGTCAGCACAGCTCTTGCTGGCCCTGATTCTGGAATCTTCCTTCCAGCAGCTCTTCCTGTTGCCTGCCTGGCAGGCAGAGGAAGCTAAGTGCTGCCTCCCGGGCTTGTGCAGGGAGCTTCCTGGCTGTGGGGCTGCAGTGCCAGCCTAGGTAGAGTGGTCAAGTGTGGGACATTTGCACACACCCCCTTTGGATCGTCTCTTCTGCAATCTGCTGTGTCTTCCCTGCCCCTCCTGAGCAGGGCTGAGGCAGCAGGAACTGGGCAGCTCCCTGCTCTCAACAAATTCTAAATTAACCCTTACTGGTTAAATTTCCTTGCTTTTGTCTCATCCTCTCTGCTTGTCTAGTAAGTCACACTTGGAATGAGGTTTAGTGTGTGGGACGTACTTTGAGAATCATTTGATCCGTGGGCTTGGTAGCACCTTGGCCTCTTAGAACAAAACCTGAGCAGAGAGGGTATGGGGGGTGGCCTGGGTGCCAGCAGGGGAACCAGAACTCCTTACCAGGCCCCATCAAGTCCTAACATGTGCACTCTCTGGCGGGCTCATCCTGTTCCAAGTGGCTGTTCTACCGCCTTCACAGTGAGATCTACTTGGTAGATTTTCTAGAACATTTGTCTTTCAACTTGTCTCTATCTTTTTTCTATTTCTCTTCTCAGATGCTATCAATTTATAATTTTACTATGGGTTAAGTGGAAGAAGAAACAGGACTTCATGACCAAAATGGGATTTAGATATCTTGGATGGGTGCTTTGCTAACAGTACGATGTCATGTATGCCACGTGCTGTAATGCCTACAAGGCTCCTGGAGTGAGCTGTCCCTGCCAAATGTCCATTCCTACTGATACAAATCAGAATTGCTTTTGCCCTCTCAAGTCAGTGTCTACATTTTTAAGTGTTTAAAGCTTCATCAGTATGAGAAACTTGTAATTGTTAAAAATCTGATCTCCTTCAGGACACATGTTCCACTGTAATTTGCCCGTGAGTTTACAGGAGGGCTATTCATGCCTCGATTGAGGGTCTTTGTTCTGAGGTCATTTTCTGTGACCTGAACTGATGGCATTGGTGATTATCTCGAAATAGTATTTCAGGAGTTCCCCCATTGACCCAGGGTTGAGGAGTTAGTTCCACTGAATCAGATGATTTTAGTATTTATGTGGCCCCATCCTGAAAATGTATTGTGGTTCTTGAGGACATGTCCTACATTGCATATGGGCACAGAAGTTTTTGACCTAGCACAGTAAGTTACAAAACTCAAAATATTGCTTTGAAGATGGCACTCTGGGAATAAGTATGGGGCTCCATGAGTTCCCTTCAGTCCCTGCCAGTCCCTCCTCCATCAAGTGACAAGCCATGGGCGTGCCCTGGGCATGCATGCAATACAGCAAGACCAACACAAGAGCAATATTGAATTGTCCATCAGATCAAAATTATATATGTTATATATTTTATCTTCCTGCATTTTTGAAGTATAAAGTAGTACATTTTACATATCTGTAAGCTAGTATATTTGTTTCACCATTTGTAATATTCAAGAAATGCTCATTCTTTGTAGAACAAACAAAAGTATTAAAATATTTTAAAAAGTTGTTCTGTGATCTTTTCCCCCCCAAAATTTGTGTGTTGCTCCTACATAAGCTCTCTGGAAATATCCATAACTAACAGGACATAGGGAAGTCTTCAAAGCTACATCCTGGAATTCATTACCCCACAAAGACAAATATATGGACAGAGTATTTATAAAAGCATGACTTTTCTATGTGGGATATCAATATGAATATTTATATTTAAGGTGTATTGTTACAATTCCATTATCTACTATATTTTATTTACAGTTATACAAATCATTCTTGCATACGAGTTTCTAGTTGCCAGTGATGTTCTGAGAATAATGACACATTAAAATAAATCTTCAGTTCTGACACCCTGGCTGGAAGGTGGTGATGTTTCTTAATCTTCAGGGTGCAGCCAGTCTCTGATGGTCTTGACCTAGTTCTCCTGTAGCTGCTTTATTGAGCTTATCTACCAGAGAGGAGACTGTCAGGCTCCGTTCAGGTCTGGGATTGGCAGCAGTAGCTGCCCGGAGGTGTTCCCAGAAGGTTCTCCCAGCTGGTCTCTGTCACTGTGCTGACAGGATGCCCCAGGTGAGGGAAGCAGTGGGGGCAGGACACTCCTTTGCTCAAAATAGGAATGAAGAAAAGCTTTTAAAATACTGTCTCTTCCCTCTCCCTGCCTCCCCACAAGGGCCAGACTATTAAGAGGGATTGATCTAGAAAAATCCCCAGCATGTTCCTGGGCATAGTTTCTACTTGACACCCTTGGTCCTTACCCCTCCTTCTCAATGCTAATTATAATATAAAGCTAACTTGTGGTAACATGTTATTGAACTGACAAAAAATAACTCTCCAAGTAATCCACAAAAGAAACGGTTTATTCAGAAAAAGAAAAAAGAAGCAAGACCACCACCACAGTGCGGAAAGCACACCTCCTACACGGAGCTCCTACCGGCAGCCCATGTGGAGGCAGACAAGACCCCTGGTTCCAACATGGCTAATCCCTTTATTACGATCCCTCTCCCAGAAATTACCATAAGGGTAAACAGGAAGTCAGGAGTATAGAGTTAACAAGGGGCCCAGCTCCACCCATAGTCCTCCCAGCTCTATAATTAAGCATTTTAAGATGCCAGTTCACTCTATCAATGTCTACATAAGAAACTTCCAAACCTATAGAGAACTTTTATGAGTTCATTTGAGCCAAACTGACTACAATTGCTGGGAAGCAAAATCTCAATAGATTGAGAAAATGCTGTGGAGAATGGCAGTTTTGCAGTTTATTTGTATATTAGAATAAAAGGAGGAGACGTAGGGAGGGCTACATGAAATCCATTGGTGGTAGATTAAGGAGGTGGGAGAAAGCAAAGCAGGGAAATCTCTGGGGTTGGTTAAAAAGTAAAATGGAGAGACACATAGTTCTTTTACACTGGTGGGTGCAAGAGAGTTAATAATTAACATTCTATAGTACATAGAGATGGTATTCGGGGAAACAAGATAATAAGGATGGATTCTGTAGTCTGGTGCTCTGGTGCAGTGTTCTGGAAAAAGGGATGACTGACATTCCAAGAGTGTGTTATCTTAGACTCAAAAAGACAATAGACAGGCTCACTTAAGGTAAAAATTGACCTTTGTCAAGGAAGCTACAGGCCTAGGATGTGACTACCGGCCCACTTTTAGTTAGGAATTTATGTTTAGACCAACCTCTGTAGTTACTTTCAGTCTCTGAGTTTGTATGGTCTGCCATGCTGGCCTCTCTTGAGCTTATCAGATTTAGTGTGTGGCCCCTTTTCCATCCATATGCAGAAAAAACATCTATAAACAAAGTAAAATCCTTCTTGGGCCCCTGAAGGCTAGGTGACTGGGCAGTTTCCTGCTCGCTCTGCTTCTGCACAATGAGAATTATTATATTAATGGCTGCAGCATGGGTAGCCCTGAGGGTTAACTACAAGCACAAAGCAGAGCTGTCTCATCACATATTGAGCTTTCAATGGAAAGAGACCTCTGACTCTGCAGGGCTCTGGAAAGTCTGGCAGCACAGAAATTATTCTAAACACATCCAACAGTCACCAGAAACTTTCAGTTGATTTCAGTTTCTTGAACAGCTTTCCAGGTCTTTCTCTCAGCCTGAGTCCCCACCCCCAGGTCATCACTGTTACATTATTCAGGGGTTTCTTCTTTTATGGAGATAATTACAATCACCAGGCTCCATTAGGCCCCATTAAAGGGCATTGTCCCCTACTCAACAAGCTTTAATGTGCAAATAAAGCACTTGATGACCTTGTGACACAGCAGAGTCTGAGTAAGCAGGGCTGGGTGAGGCCTGGAAATTGGCCTTTCTAGTGGGTTCCCAGGTGATGCTAATGCTACTGGTCCTTGAACCACACTTTGAGTAGCAAGGCTGTACTCTATTTGTACTCCAATTTTGTTGCACATTGGAATCACCCAGAGGAGTTTTAGAAATTACTGATACCCAGGTCCCACCCCAGAAACTATGATTTAGTAGGTCTGGCACGTGGCTTTGGCTTCAGGGTGTTTCAAATTTCCCAGGTAACTGAAATGTAGAATAAAGTTTGAGAACCAGTGCTGTTAACCAAGTTTAATTGGGAATGCCTGCCAGCCCCCTAAATCTTCTGGGGGGTGGGAAGTGCTTATTAAATGGAATTTGCCCTTAATGAGTTTTTTCAGGCACTCCAATTGGTGTGAGGGTCCTGGCCTCCTCCATGGATAATATCTCCCAAGACTGGCATGGAGAGAAAAGTGTAATCCAGGAACAGAGCTCTGCCTGCCACACCACCCAGAGGGGTTCCTCCAGCTCCAAGTGTGGGATGACCTCACTGGTCCTGGGCCTGAGCCCCAACCTGTCTGGAATGTTCCATCCTTACCTGGCCCAATCCCGGCACAGCACACATGTCATCCTTGGCCCTGTGAACTTGCTGTTGCCCGACTCATATGCAGTGCTCAGGGGCTACAGCCAGTGCTGTGCCCACAGCATTTGTGTAACCCGAGGCAATGCTCTGTGCTGCTGCGGTCCTTCTCCAGACTGGGCCATGAGCTCTCATGCCTTCCTATGTTTATGCTGGATTGTTTTCCATCACTGTCCAATTTCATTACTACTTCTTCTAAACTAAATGAGGCCCCTGCCCACTTTAGTATATTACAAGTCATTGGTGGACCCAGAGAGGCAGGCATCTGCCTCAAATATTTTAATATAACTTCTACCATCATAATGATAATAGTTGTGTTTACTGTTGTTATAATTAGTTCACTCTTATAATTCCTCATGTTCCCTTTGCCTCAAACAACATGGAGGGGGTTAGCCTGGGGGAGGAAAACAAGTAAACCACAACTTCCCTCTGAACTTCTGTCAGGGCATAAAATAACTAAGTGGAGATAGGTCCAGTCACAATGAATGCAAGATAAAAGTTCTGCAGTTTCTGTGTTTTAATTAGGGGCAACAAATGCAAATGAAGTAGATATGAAAGGTTCATTGCATCTCCTGTCAAAAGTCCACATTATATTCTTTGCTGCCTAATAACAAGGGCAGTTTCGCTTTCAGGAATTACCTCTTTAAAGTACTGAGTGGTCATTAGTACTCAGCGTACACACACATGTGCACACACACACACACACACACACACACACTCAACCATAGTAATAAAACAGTCCTCAGAATTAGATGCTACGAAGCTATCTCTAACAACCAATATGACAACCATCGGTAAATAACAGGGACTCAGAGTGTTACCGGCCAGGCAAGTAGCCCCTCTCCCCCATTGAAAAACTTTTAAGTTTTCTTTCCTATAGAAATGTTAAATCTCCTCCCAGTTCCTTAGTTTCTTAGCTCCTGGCTTTGATTACTCTTCTAATTAGTTTCTGAATCCTAGACTAAAGATTGTTCCTAGTCTGAATTCTAGAATTCTCCTATCCCCCTGCTTCTTGATTATTTCTTAAACCTAACAATAGATTGTTCATAGAAATCTCCTACCCCTGCCTCAGATAACAATTTAAAAGCCTGTGACTTCCCAACATCCCTCAAGCCATCCTGGATCTAACCCTTGGACAATTCCCTCCCAGAGACTAAATAGGTTTTAACATTTCCCCAGGCCAGTAAGCCTAATGATTCTTTCCAAACTCATTCTGGGCCCATCAATTGATGCCACCTGAGTGACCCATTGCACCTGAATGGCCACAGGCTTTGTAAGAGCTAACAGATTTATTAATGAAAATCTATTTTTCCTCTTTCATGGGCCTTGGGGATACAAATGATACACCAACAAGGTTGCTAGTCACAACCAAAGAAGCCAACACGGTCTTCCAGGTGTATCTTGAGACCCCTTCCTCTCATCTGAGATCAGCTAGGGTGAGAGTTCTGTGAATCCCCCAATAGGCAGGGACAGCTCTACGCCCCTGCCCAGCAGGAAGCAGATACAGAAGAAGAGATCTCCTGTCCCTCAGCTTCCCATAGAGATTTTATGGGGATCACATCTCTCAAGGGGAAAACAAGGCAGGCAGTTAGAGGCAGGCATTGGGTCTCTGCATCCCTTCACAACCCACAGAATACACCACCCAAAAGATCTCCCCTCTCCACTATAACCTCTTGTCAACCACAGGTGTCAATCTGCCTGTTCCAGGCCCAGAGAATGACAGCCCATTCTAGAGAAAAAGAGATAAAAACTCCAAGTCCAGGGCAGTCAGGATTCCCCACCCTTCCTTTTTGAGCCTTGCCTTTGCACATGGCCTGCTTCAAACTCTTGGAGTGTAATTTCTCTTCTAATAATGGTCCCTTGAGCCACTCTCTACTGCTTGAGCCCGCTTCTACTTCTTTGAAGTGTACTATCTCTTCTAATAAACTGCTTTTTCACTACTTTGTCTTGGATCTCATTCAATTCTTTGCTCGAGATGCCAAGAACCTGGACATCGCGCCAAAAGGGCCCACTCTCCGACAACAAGAGGACTAGGAAACAGGCTTTAAGATATCATTTTCACTGTAAAATTGGCAACTTACAGTTATAAAGCAGGTGTGTCAAAATGCACAATATTGGCCATGCTGTTTCCTCTGTTCAGAAATTCCTTCTTTCTGTCTCCCTGTCCCATCCCTGCATATTAAAATATTTTCTTATATCAAGGCTGCCATCTAATAAACTCCTCTATAAAGTCTTCCCTGGGCTTTCAAATAAAAAGAAATCCTCTTCAGAATTCCTCTTGGTTTTTGTTTTTCTGTCCTTTATGACTCTTCCAACATGTTCCATTACGCTGACATGGTTTTGCTCGCATCTTGATTTTGTTCCATACTATTTAACCTGAAGTCATCGTTGAACCCTCGTGGGAACCTGAACGGTACTTTGGACCAGTAAGTGCCTTGTAAACACTT